ATAAGGTACAAATCAAATAGTTTGAACTCTGATACTACTTTGATGGGATCAAATAAGCTTGAATAGTATTCAAACCAAACATGTCATTCAATGAAAAATTAAATTATCCCTCTCTTATATAAATATAATAAGAATCAAACAAATAGAGCTTATAAATAAATCATCAAACCACAAGCACAAGGACACAAGTAATTTTACATGAAAAATCTCTCCAATGTGAAGAGTAAAAACCACAAATAATAACAAATAATCTCCACTATTAAAATAATAAAAATATAAAATCCTCTTTAGCTATAAATAGAGATATACAATCACAATTTCTTAAGATTAAATAATCTTAGGAAAAAAATAATCTTGCAAAAAAAATTAGAAAGATTTCTCCAAATTTAAGAATTAATGAACATCTACAAATTCAAAAGGTAAAAAACTTAACACTCGATCTCTATCATTTAAACTGAAAAATAATAAATTGTAAACACACTAATAAAGTTTTAATTGAATTGGATCATGAATTGACCTCAATCAAATATTTTTATCAGAACTACACAAGCCATATTTTCTCCTTTTCTTTTTTTCTCTCTATTCTTTCTTTTTGTTGCCGTTACTAGTCGACGTCAATGTTGCTAGAAGCCAGCCGCACGAAACAATATATAAATAAGAGTTTTAAAAACCCTTCAACCATGTAAGAACGGACTAAAAAATCCCTAAAAGTGTGGGCTTTAGTTATGGGCTCTTCCAAATTGAGAAAAACCCAAACCCAACACTTTTTGAGCGAATTGATCACAACTAAGCGCTGGACAAGCCCACGTAACCCCACCAGCGTCCAATGTTATCAAACCCAAGGAAGCGTAGAACATCACCGCTATGCCACCTTTTATGTAGCTAGACTTGCCATGGTAAGTCGGGTGCAAATCCTTTAAATAAGCCTGAATTCTGACTAATGACAAGCCCTGCAAAACCCTTATTTCACTTAGATTAATAGTGTATAAAAAGTCAGAATCCTTTGCATTTTTTTAAAATTAAGCACCTAAATACTTTAGCTAAGACCTTTGAAAAAATTAATTACCAAAATTTCACAACTAAAGATTTTGGGAATAATTTTTCTCATCGATACTTTAAAAAAATCCAAAAAGTGGACTCGTAGTGAATCTACTTAAGAAAGTATAGAAATGAAGCCACCAACAAGGGAGAGCAAGAAGGTTGCGCCCATAAAGTTAGTAAGAGTGTTTGCAAAGGCGAGAATATTGAAGTACATAACAAAGCTAAAGTAAAGGACCATGCTGACCATATTGGCAATAAAACCCATGTTTTCTAATGACACCAACACTGCGAAAAGAAAAACGAAATTAAATACATAATTTAGATCAGAGTCAAGCCTAACCAGAATGGTTATTACAAAAGTACAAAATTTACATTAAATTGTTTAGATAAAATTTATGAATTTTTTTAAATGATTTAATAAAAACTTTAATAAAAAATCTAAATTAATATATTAATAAAGTTCAATGTAAAAGATTAATAGTATGTAAAAAAAAATTATTAAAAATATTTTTTATAATTCAAATTTAATCAATATTTATTTAATAGTAAAAATTTTATAAACATTTTTATAAAAAAAAATCTATTTAAAAAATATATTCAATTTTTTTAAAATTTTACACGCTTAATCTATATAATAAAATCTTTTGATCTATCAATTTTAATTTTTGATTTTAATTTTTATTAAATCATTTTTATAAAAAAACTTCACAAATTTTACCTAAAATACTTCATTTAAATCTTCTACTATTGCAAAATTAGTTGTTCTTCTATTTGGACTTTTTTTTTTCGCTTCTTATAATAAGAAGCGAAAAAAAAAAAGGGTTGGCTTACAAAAACAACCTTTTTCTTGGTACTCGGCTATCGGCTTTGGTCATTTCCTGGAGCCGATACGCAAAAGATGTATAGTAAGTGCTAAATACAGCATGATAAGCAATAAACAATTTTTTAAAAAATTGTTAATTAAAAACCATTTCATAAATAATTTTAATCTTGATTTATATTTTTATATACCATGGGTCTTTAATTACCTATTTTAAAATTAACTCAAAAAGAGATAGGGGTATATCCTGCTAGTAATAATCTTATTTTTGGTCGGACGGCTAATTGAAGCTATTCTGATCAGTTGGTATAATTCCGTGGGCATGCCATGTTGTTGTTAAGCTTAAGACACCCGTTGCCAGCATTAAACATATCTTTGTTCCACTTTTGCTTGGTTTTGCTGAAAATATTTTTAAGATAGTGAAAGATAATTAAGTTGGTTAAGTATGATATTTAATTAAGGATTCAGAAACAAAGAACATTAAAGCTTGGATGAAGCTTTGAATGTATGAAATAATAGCTAGTTTGTATGACTTTCAATTAAGGCATTCAAATGTTAGTTCTCTATTTCATAAATTTATTAGAGCAGTTAGATACCTTACATAGGGCAGTGAATTGCCCTACTTGAAAAGACCTTATGAAATAACATTAAGGGAGTTTTTGATTTGAGAAAATCTAATTTTTTTTGTTTTAATTTTGATTGTAGATATTTAATTTTTTTATTTGGTTTAAAATTATTTAATTTAGATGAAAAATATTAAAATTTTAATAGTACTTAAAGTTTCAGAATAAAAAATTTACTTTTCTCTGTAGTATTTTAAAATTATAAATAAAAAATTATTTGAAATTCAAATTTAACTTGAATAAAAAAATTTTTCTATTTATGTTACTCTTTTAAAAAATAAAAATAAAAATGAATTAAATTTTATTTTAAGTCAATTATGATTTTTTTTTGAATAAAATGCCATTATTGGTATATATATAATATTTTAAATTTCTCATATATTTTATAATTGGTTATTAAAACTTTTTTAAACATATATTATAATTGAGTTATGAAGTGATTTGAAATGATTTTATTACGACATTTTAATGGAAAAATATTATATTTTTAAAAAACTTACTTACAGAATTTTGTTGATTAAAACGTCGTAATAATTTATATATGCATATTATCAACAAGATTCACATAATTACGATATTTTTTCATTAGAACACAGTAATAGCCATATATTTATTGCATATGCGTACTGCCAATAGGATTCACAGATGTAGGAGCCAGGTCAGCTTGTTATTTCCACACTTGAAAAGTAACTTGGGATCACTATCTAGTAAATGTACGAGGCGACAAAAAGCAACTCTTCTAGTCAAATTGCACCACACTTGGCACCGTAAGTTCTGTTTTTCCAATCATTCTTTTCAAACTCAGACTGTCCACTTTCCAACTCAAAAAACGAGCAAGAATGGCAACCTATATTGACTACATTCAAAGGTTTAGGCAGCGTAAATAATTTTGCCAACGTTCTAGTTCACAACCCAAAGGCAAAAAAAAAAAAAAATGACATTAGTTTATCATATCAACGAGAAGAAGAAAGGTGTCTTTACGGCGTTTTTTTTAATTAAATATCATAATTATCGTAACTGAGTGTTTTATATTTTTATATGTAAATAATAATGACATATTTTTTAAAATAAATAAAATTATTTTATTTTATTTTGTGATAAAAATATCATTTGTCGTGTGTGTATATATATTTATTTATTTTTTATAAACAAAATGAAGGAAAGACATCAATTAGTATAGAAAAAGTTTTTCAACAATAATTAATTTGCTGGAATACAAGTTTATGCGAAACATTCTAAATCCGTCTATAATTTGATCAATTTTTTTAAATCCTCTCACTCAATCCCAATTTTATAAAAAAAAAAAAAAAAACGTTTTGAATTATTTTCTTATCTTTACCCATAACCTTCATTTTATATATAAGTGTATAGATTTAACCAGAACGCCACATGTCAAATATTAAGAGCTCATTTCATCTTTACAGTGTTCTTTCATGTTTTCATGTTTTGTTATATTTTTAGTTGTATTTTCTTTGTTGGGAAACTAACGACTTTGCTTGTTTTCTTAACGAAACTTTATCGATTCACTGAAAAAAAAAAAAAAAATCGAACTCATCCACGTAAGAGTAGAAAAAATTATCTTTCACTAGGGCAAACTCAACAAATCGTTCGAAACTCGTCCAAACAAAATTTTTTTTTTTTGATAGTATCACGTCATCAAAACTATTCTTGCCAATTTAGTTAGAAAACAAAGAATGATACGTAAATAATAGAGTTATTTAAGTCTTAAGAAGTGCAAAGATTTTTATTTATATAGTCTGATTTAATATGCATCAATCTTGTTAATAACAGTATGGAAACCTTTTTGATTATGGATTTGAATGGGGAGTACTATTGTAAGTGTCCATATGATTCCTTTCCCTCCAAATGTGATAAATATACACTCCAAGCAATCCTTGATATAGTGAAAATCAAGGATTTGTCCTTTAGCTTTTTAATTACCAAAACTTCTCATTCCAACAAGCAGTTTCTCTATGAAGCTGATAAAACTGCATAATCTCACTTCCATATGCCCCTGATTAAACTTCTTTATTGAAATCATGTGACGGTATTTCATATCGACAAAGCAAAAGTCAGTTATGAGTTTGAGACTAATCAAAACACTAGGTTAATAGTAACAATGCATTTGAGAATTTATTTCAATTGATAACTGATGCATGCTTTTGTGTTCAAAAAATTGAAGCGAAAATATATATTATAAGAATACTAGTATCAGTAAGTAAGCCCAATGCAAAGTAAAACGGAAAATGTTAAATATAAAAAAAAATTAATTATTAAATAAAATAAGATGTGTGATAGAAGCATAACGCAAGGCGCCGCAAAACAGGTCAAAGATCGCAAAATAGTAACCACAACCTGGATGTTTGCGATGACTTTTCAGTTTTCAATTGTATAGGTTTGACGAGGCAAATGCTAAGGCAAGGCACGTTTCGTGCTGTTACTTCAAAGCCATTCCGCCATCAATAGTCAAAACTGAAAACCCACCAGTCAGTACAAATGTGATTCCCAACTTTTTCTCTCTTTCACCCATAATCGTCAAATCCCACCATAATTTCTCTTTATATCTCCTTTCTTAAGTGTTTCTGATTGACTGCCTCTTTTCATTCTCTTCTATGACGACGACGACGACAACAACAACATCTACGATTTCTAAGAGGCAACCCATGGGGGCTTTCACAGCGCTGTTTCTTACAACCTTTGCTTTAGTGTTGGGCGCGGCCCGTGCTGATGCTGACTTGCTTCAGGATGTATGCGTTGCCGATCTTTCTTCAGGTACTGCACTAATGCTATTGCTAGCTCTTGTTTATATCTTTTCCCTTAATGATTAGCCTGTTCTTATCCTTTATGACTTGCACCCTTAAAAGGCCGGAAAATTAAGTTTCAGCTATCCAAGGAAGGGTGACTCAGCTCAAATTAACGTGAAATCGTAGAAGAATATTGCTCCAGTTTTTGGGTGATTCTAACATATAATTTAGTATACAAAAACCTATATGGTTTTTGCAGTTACAGTGTTAGTTATGTTTTTGCTATATACTTGTATACATAATCCACATATGTGTCAACGTAAACAGGAGTGAAAGTGAATGGATTCCCCTGTAAGAACCCCTCAAGCATAGGAGCAAATGACTTCTTCTTTGCCGGTCTGGCCAAACCAGGCTTCCCCAACAACACCGTGGGGTCGCTTGTCACAGCGGCTAATGTGGAAAAGATCCCAGGTCTCAATACCCTAGGCGTCTCCATGTCTCGAATTGACTACGCCCCCGGTGGGGTCAACCCTCCCCACACCCATCCTCGAGCAACAGAGATAGTTTTCCTGCTGGAAGGCGAGCTGGAGGTTGGCTTCATAACCACATCCAACGTGTTGATATCAAAGTGGATCAAGAAGGGTGAAATATTTGTGTTCCCTAAAGGATTGGTGCATTTCCAGAAGAACATTGGGAGGACACCTGCTGCTGTTATTACTGCCTTCAATAGCCAGTTTCCGGGAACACAGTCCATTGCTGCCACCCTTTTTGGGGCCTCGCCAACAGTTCCTGATGATGTATTGAGCAAGGCATTCCAGATTGGTAGAAAGGAGGTTCAGAAAATCAAGACCAAATTTGCACCTAAAAAATAGACTAAATTAAGCTTTGTTGTTGTTGTTGTTGTTGTTTGATATAGAGTTGATGTTCAATTGCTGGGCTTCTCAGATTTTTTTTTTTTGTGAATATCTTTTCTTAAGAATTCACAAGGGAGAAAAAGAGTTATGATCACATCTACAAGTAGAAGCTTTGCTTTCTTTGTTAATAACTAATAAAATATCGCAATAAATGGATTGACTGTAAATAAAAGAAATTGCTTATCAGAACATCAAATGCTATAATTTCCTTATAATCTAAGCTCAAAATCCTTCTAACATTTCCCCTTTCATTTTTAGGATGAAGCCTTTGCGTGTCATTATATTTTTCATCTTCACTTTCTTTAACAACGATTAACGATTAAATAAGTAAACAACTTATAAGATGCAAGATTAGTTTAAGGAAAGAAGATGTACATAGAATATTGCCAGTGGAGGTGAACTTGAAAGGTTTCATCTGCCCCATCCGTTGTTTTCATCTAATAGCCGTTTTTGGGGTTAGTCAAAACTGTTTATTTCTGTGAATGTGATTAAAAAAAACAATGAATATAAATTGATAATAAAATAGCCTTGAACCACAAATTAATAAATTGATCCTAAAGTACGGATTAGTTTGGGCAAATCGTTAAAATACTGCATGTTTGGCAATCTCCGGGGCTGTTCCATACTCTTGATTTGATAATCCCTTCGAGCCAGCAAGAATGATGGGCATAGCATTATTTTAACCGATTTCCAAACTAATAAACAAACTTTATTAACAATATCAAACAAATCATGTGACGACATCTGAATTCAACATGTTAAGTATTATCTTGATTATAAAAAATATCTTAGGTTTAATTTTTTTTTTTATATATTATATAACAAATCATCAAAATATTCTGATGTGAGATTAGGGTATTATAAACTTTTCACTTTAAAACTTGACATCCTCATTAAGTACAATAAAAACACACATAAAACTAAGATCATACCAAATATTGAGATTCTAAAAATAATTCTACCATTTAGCACTTAACTTCCTCAAAATTTTGGAAGTGGTTCCCACGAGCTTCTATCCAATTAGCAAGCGCTCTAATATCATTTGAGAAAACCTGCATCCAACTTATGAAGTAGTATCCACTTTTATCTGAAGATCTCAATATTTTGTTCCTACGAAAGGCATTTCACAAATATAGTTTTAAATCTCTACTTAGAAAACATAGTAAATCTTTAAAACATCCCGATATGGGATTGGAGTATTACAAATTCCTTCATTAAAGTTTAACATTCCAGTGAAGCCTAACACAAAATACACACAAAACTAGGATCGCACCAAATATTGGGATTCTAAAAGTGGCTCTCATAATGTAGCACTTAACTCTCGTCTTACTAGTGATCATTCTGATACCATTTATGAATACTTGAATCAAACCTATGAGGTATTATCTGTTTCAATCTTAAGTTCTCATGATTTTATCCTACAAAAGGCGTTTCATGAGTATGAATTTAAATATCTACTTATATATTATAACAGATCTTCAAAATATTTTGATGTATAATTAGAGTGTCACAAAATCCTCCTTTAAAACTTGACGTCCCTTTTAAACCCAACACATACACATAAAACTAGGATCACATCAAACGATGAGATTCTAGATGTGGCTCTCACCATATAACACTTAGCTTCCATAAGATTTTAAAGGTCACTTTCACTGTATATTACTTAGCTTTTGTTTAATTGATAACCGTTTCGATATCATTTATGGAGACCCAAACTTAACATGTGAGGAATTATCCTCTTCGATCTAAAGGTCTCATGGTTTTATCCCACAAAAAATGCTTAACAAGTATATGTTTAAATCTCTATTTACATATCATAACAAATTTTAAAAATATCTCAATATGGGATTCAAATGCTATAAACTCTCTCCGTTAAAGCCTCCATTAAAGCTTAACATCCATATCAAGCTCAACAAAAAAAAAAAAAATACACAGGACCAGGATTTACACTAGACATTGAAATTCTAAAGGTGACTCTCACCATGTAGCCTTTAGCTTTCATCTAACTAATGACCTTTTTGTTACCATTTATGGAGATCTAAACCAACTTATGAGGTATTTTTTACTTTAACTCGTATGTCTTACAATTTATCTCATAAAAGATGTCTCATAAATATGGGTTTAAATCTTTATTTATATGGAATAGTAGATCTTTAAAACATCATAATATGATATTAGAGTGTCATAAACTCCTTTCATTAAAACTTGATGTCTCGTTAAATGCAACAAAAAGTACACACAAAACAAAAAACACTCCAAGCGTTGGAATTCTAAAAATGACTCCCACTGTGTAACATTTAACTCTCTTAAAATTCTAAAAATGGCTCATAAAATGTCAATCTTAGCTTTCGTCCAATTAGTGATAGCTTTAATAACATTTAAGGAAATTCATACCAAACTTATGAGATATTATTCACTATGATTTAAAAATCTCATAGTTTTATCTTATAAAAATTGCTTCACAAATATGATTTTAAGTATTTACTATTTATCATAGCAGATTTTCAAAATAACTCGATGCGAAATTGAGGTGTTGTAGACACCGAATTTTGTTCGAGTCTACTTGAGTCAATTTTCAAGTTTTATTTATTAAATTAATTAATAATTAAAAATATAAAAAACAATAAACAAAAAATACAAACAACATTATAAAATTAAAAAAAAAAGAAAAAAAATGGCAGAAAACATAGCAGCTGATGCTTGGCACCAGCCACCCCACAACCTCCCGCAGCCCCCAATAGCCCCTCTCTACCAGACCAGTTGTCCTATCTAGCTCTAGTATATCCCTTACCAGCCGCCTTGTGGCTTTCTGCCACCATCCTATCACCACCCTACAGCCACCCCTACGGCATACCCTATAGCCACCCTTGCAGCCACCTTACTCCACCCAATCTTTAAAGCCCCAGCTTCTTCCCCTTTTAGCTCTCTCCTCTCGGACACATCTCTAGAGGCTTTTCCACTAGACACTCTCATCTTGGACACATTTTCGGATGCCCAGGAACCCATTCATTCCACCCCTACCAAAAACCCCTAAGCTTAGACACCTTGCCCTCTACTTATCAAAATACACCATAAACCTCTAAGCTCTGGAAACTCAACCTTGGGCACCCCATCTAGTCTCTACCAGAGAACAACCCCACTCTCAGTTGAAAGACCTACCCCAAGAACGAGCACCCTTTCGCACCAATTACCTTTTCTAAGCCCTGTGCACATACATCTTCAAACACACCAAGAGCTTACCCTTCATCAATAACCGACCCCTTTTTCAACAAGCTCAGTACTCACACTAGCACCCCAATTCGGGCCACCACACCCTAAAAATCACCACACCAACACCCTCGAGATACCTGTTATAGATCCAGTTCTACCCCTAACCTAGTTCCCTTTCAAATAACCATGAACACAAAAAAAAAATAGTCTTCACCTACAACGAGAAACCCAACACCAAAGAGGTACTTGCAAAAAAAAAAATATATCAGTGGTAGTTTATAAAAAAAAAAAAATACAAAAATTTTAAGCCCCGATCTACACCACTCAGGGTTATTTTGGGTAAAAAGAAGGCCAGATAAAAAAAAGAATTGAAAGAAATCTTTTGAGATTTTTTAGTGTTTTTTTACCACCGACAACGGTCGACATGATGGCACAGTCATCGACGATCGGACACTGACAGAGCTCTAGAGCTTTCCCAGAGGCTTTAAATTTTTTTTTTCTAAAGAAAGGGTGAAATGAATTAAAAATTTTTTTTTAGTCTTATATAAAAGAACAAAGCCCAAAACGACATCGTTAAGGCCAAGAAGATCTGCGCGTAGACCTAGATTGGACCCGAACTCTGCGTGACCTGACCTAGCGACCTGTCTTTCACCTAGCCTGAATCAATTCAATCGAACCGTTAGTCGAATCGCCCTTCAGCCAGTTCAATTGTCAAACTGTCGATCAGTTCAGACCGACATTGATAGGTCCGATTCAAGTTTTTCTTTTAATTTTTTAATTTTTTATATATTATTATTTTTCTTATTTTGAGCTTTATTATTAATATTTATGCATGACAAAATTTTAAGATTTATTAGAATAAATATTTGATTGTTTTAATAATAATAAAATGAAAAAAAAGTAGGATAATAACAAAAAAAAACTAAACTAAATTAAAATGCTTAAAGAATAATAATAATAATAATCTAAAAATAATAATAATAAGAATAGAATAATAATTTTTTTATTTTCCCCTGGCTAGATGTTAGAGGGAATAAAAAATTATAATTTCGCCTAGATGTTAGGGAATTATAAAAAAAATAAAAAAGACTAAATAATAATAATAATAATAATAATAATAAATTTTCATAAAAAGGAAATATATGAAAAATTTTAATTAATTTTCAAAAATCATAAAAATCAAACTTACTCCAAAAGTTCGTCTAGATGTTAGAGATTTTTAGAAATGTTTGTGGTTTTTTTAAAAAATAAAGTTCGAAACCCTAAAATCAAAAACCTAATCCCCAAACCCTAAATCAAAACCCTAAACTTTCCAAACCGTAAGATCAAATCCTAAAGCCCTTGAAATTCAAACCAAAACACCAAAATCCAAAACTTCAAAATCTCGACCCATGCCTATACTCAAAACCATTTCAAAACTTTAAAAATATGTGCGAATTTTTCTTACGAGTTCTTAATTCGCTTTAATAATGAGATTAATAAATGAAAAAAGTATACTAATAAAATAGGATATTAAATATGAACAGTCACACCTAAGCTCTGTTTAGATGTTGGAGAGTCGAAATGGTCTCATTATATTTAAGAATCCATTTTTTTAAATTGCATTTTATCATCTGACATAATATTCATGGGCATACATGCATCATTATATTATTGTTGACGTTCATTTCGTATTTCTTTGTCTTTAATTTTTATTTGTTACCTGACAATACCATTATTTATTTTCTTTTACAAAATGTTTTACAAGA